TTCCAGGGTTACGTCCTGATAGGGAAATTGAGTTTACCATTGATTTGATTCCAGGGACTACCCCTATTTCACAATCACCTTACAGAATGGCTCCAGCAGAGCTGAAGGAATTGAAAGTTCAGTTGCAAGATTTAGTTGATAAGGGTTTCATTAGACCCAATGTATTTCCATGGAGAGCTCCAGTCTTGTTTGTGAAGAAGAAAGATGGAACAATGAGATTGTGTATTGACTACAGACAATTGAATAAAGTGACAGTCCGCAACAAGCATTCGTTGCCTCGCATTGATGATTTGTTTGACCAACTTAGAGGTGCCTCAGTGTTTCGAAGATTGATTTACGTTCGGGTTATCATCAGCTCAGAATTAGAGATATTGATGTACCAAAAACTGCTTTTAGGTCACGGTATGGCCATTATGAGTTTTTGGTGATGCCATTTGGGTTGACTAATGCCCCTACAGCGTTTATGGACTTGATGAATAGAGTGCTTCACCCATATTTAGATAGATTTGTGATTGTTTTTATTGATGATATCTTAGTTTATTCTTGTAGTAGAGATGATCATGTTAAGCTTTTGAGGATTATTTTGCAGACTTTGCAAGATAAGCAGTTGTATGCTAAATTCAGCAATTGTGAATTTTGGCTGGATAAAGTTGTATTTTTGGGTCATGTTATCTCAGCTGAAGGTATTTATGTAGATCCTCAGAAAATTGAAGCAGTAACGAAATGGGAACGCCCTGCTAATGTTACAGAAGTACGGAGTTTTCTTGGGTTAGCAGGTTATTCTCGTCGAGGATTTTTCCAAAATTGCTCTTCCTTTGACTAGTTTGACTCGAAAGAACTCCAGATTTGTGTGGACTGATGAATGTGAAAAGAGTTTTCAAGAGTTGAAGAAAAGATTAGTTTCTGCTCCTATACTTACTCTTCCATCTCCAGGTGAAGAGTTTGTGATTTAGAGTGATGCTTCACGCCAAGGATTGGGTTGTGTTATAATGTAGAATGGGAAAGTTGTAGCTTATGCTTCTAGACAATTGAAGAAGCATGAGTTAAATTACCCAACTCATGATTTGGAGTTAGCTGCAATAGTGTTGGCATTGAAGATTTGGAGACATTATCTTTATGGTGAGAAATGTCAAATATTTACTGATCACGAAAGTTTAAAGTATATATTTGATCAGAAAGAACTGAATCTAAGGCAAAGGAAATGGCTGGAGTTGATAAAGGATTATGATTGTAAGATTGACTATCATCCGGGGAAAGCAAATGTAGTTGCAGATGCTCTTAGTAGAAAGACAAGCTCATCCTCTCCATCAAGTGCAGTTTATGCTTCTTTGATTTGTGAGTTCAAGAAGTTACACACTGAGTTGACAACTACTACTTCAGGGGCGATATTAGCTCATTTTCAAGTGAGGCCTACTTAGATTGATAAGGTTAGAGAAGCTCAATCTCAAGACCAGACATTAAGAATATTGAAAGCAGAAGTTAGTACTGGGTTAAGAACGGATTATGTGATTAGAGATGATGGGGCGCTGGCTATGGGTAATAGATTATGTGTTCCAAATATTCCAAAATTGAAGAAAGAGATTTTGGAAGAAGCCCACAGTTCTGCTTATGCTATGCATCCAGGCAGTTTTAAAATGTATCATACATTGAAAGATCATTATTGGTGGCTTGGTATGAAGAGAGAGATAGCAGATTTTGTATCCAAATGTCTTATATGTCAGCAGATAAAGCCAGTTCGTCAGAAAACAACAGGACTTTTACAGCCATTGCCTATTCTAGAGTGGAAATGGGAGCACATTACTATGGACTTTTTATTTGGCCTTCCTCGTACTCAGAATGGTCATGATGGAGTTTGGGTAATTGTAGATCGTTTGACCAAAACTGCCAAGTTCTTACCAATCAAAGCCACTTATACTTTAAATAAGTTGGCAAGGTTATACTTTAAATAAGTTGGCAAGGTTATATGTGGATGAGATAGTGAGCTCTTATGGTACTCCATTATCTATTATGTCAGATAGAGACCCTCATTTTACATCTAAATTTTGGCCCAGTTTGCAGGAAGCCATGGGTACTAAACTACATTTCAGTACAACTTTTCATCCTCAGACAGNGTCTCAGCCAATTCAGTTAAAAGAGAATTTGACTTATATAGAAGAGCCAGTGGGAATCTAAGACAAGAAAGTGCAAATTCAACAAAACAAGACAATTTCACTTGTTAAGGTTCTTTGGCAGAATCAGACAGTAGAACAGGCTACATGGGAGAACGAGGATCAGATGCGTGCTCAATAACCTCATTTATTCATTGCCTAGTCAGTTGCCAATTGAATTTCGAGGATGAAAATCTTTTAAGGAGGTAATATTGTTACAATTCAATTTTTATAGTAAAAAATTCAAATGTTGACTAGTCAAGGTCAAAGTCAATTAAGGACTAAAATGACATTAAATATTTTATTTGGGTTTATTTTGCAATTGGCAAAATATGAAGGTTAAATTGGATACATTTCAAAGTTTAGAATTTATTTATATACTTTTGGAAGTTGAGGGTTTACTTGTATGTTGTAAGTAGATTTAAGGGACTTTCTTTGCAATTAAACATGTGGGACTTTATATTCAACTTTGACCAACATTTTTATCTAAAAAAAAAACACACACACACACACTGAAATTACAGTCAGAAGCTGGAGACCGAAAGAAAGGGAGAAAAATTAGAGAAAAAGGGAAGGAAAAAAAGGAAAGAATGAAGGGAAGAAGAAAAGGGAAGAAGAAGAAGAAAATAGTTAAGGCTAATCTCTTCAAGCTTGGGTTGAATTTTTCCACTTGTTTCAAGTGATAATGTATGAATTATGTTAAAATTCTAGGGTTTTATTTTGGCTCGAAATTTTCAGATTTTTTTGAGATGAATACTACTTGAAGCTCAAGTTATTGATTCTTGAATTTCTATCTACATTAAGGTAAGGAGATGTTAATTTTTTTGGGGAAAGCCTAGAATCCAATTTTGGGATTTTGATTAATTAATTGTGGAAATGATTATATAAATGGAATATTTCACTTGGAAGTTGATTTTATGGAACAAAATGTATATTAAATGGGTGGAATTGTGGTTACGAGTTTCACTAGATTGGAGAGTAAAATCAGTTTTAAACTTGCGAAGAAGGTTTTGTTGATGAATTAGTTATTAGAAAAGGGATTAGAAAGTGGGATTAGCTCCAATTGATCAAAAGAATATTTGGGAAATTCATTCGAGCATCGACCAATTTTAGTTAAGTATTATAGAAGTAGATCTTAAAGTTTCTTAATTTAATAGTGGTTGATTAGTCATCTTGTTATGTATTCTAGGTGGTGACGAGGAGATTGGGAGACCCTATCGACCATCTTAGGTTCAGCTTGTATTATGTGAGTCGATAAGCTTATTTTTCAGAAATTAGTATTTATTTAATTTATATTAACTCAGAAAATTTATTAATTCATACAGTCGATTTGACAACACGATACTTAAATATTTGTGAGTTTTATTAGCGATTTATTACTTAATTTTCTTATTTTTATTTTGTAGGTGAAAACTCGAGATTAAACGATGAATTGAAGGAATTTATGCGAGAAACAAGCTAAAGATGAAGGCAAACGAAGAAGACCACCAAAGACGCCGCCGAAAGAAGATTTATAAAAAGAAAAAAAAAATCAACTACTGTGGTGCCCAGGCGCCACTCGGTCTGTTTTTAATTGTTTTCAAAGTTCCAAGGACCAATGCTGCAATTTCCTTTAGGTTTTAGGTTAAAACATTCAACCAAACACAAGATTTTGCATTCAAAAACTTGGGAGGCAGCTGGTTCTTCTTCTTGTTTTCTTTCTATTTTTCCTTTTTCCTTTCACCTTTATTTTCTAAGATATTTTGGGGAAGATTGGAATATGGAGATGATGCATTAGCTTGGAGAATATGACCCATTGATATTGAAGGATTTTCAACCATTTCTCTCTTTATCAATAAGTTTTTCTTTTTACTTTTTCCATCAATATTTTGTAAGAAATTGTTAGTTATTTGTGGATATTTCATGGGTAACTAATTATATTTTGTGATTGGAGATTATTTGAAACCCGAGTTATGATTTTCAATTAATTTGTGCTTTATAATTCTCTTGATTAATGTGTTTAATTCATTGTGTTAAATATTTATTTTGTTCTTCTTGATTGTTTAGGTGTACAACTAAATGGTTAAATTGTTTCGACAATGCTATTTTGGAATTAGTAGTACGTAATAGTTATTGATTCTAAAACCTAGTAGCAATTACATTTAGATAGATTATGAAGATTTTTCAATTGAATGTATGTGGATTAACATTTAAGTTTGTAAACCGAGATTGCGAGTTTACCCTTAATTCAATTCATATATTTTGTCGTAATGCGTTTGTTAAATTAAATCTAGAGAGCTTGTTCTAGATTGTTTAATGAATAGGGTTGAATAAAGAGCTTGTTTTATTCAACTAACATGTAAGAAGAGGTTGAGGTAATTGAGTTTGTAATTATTCTCGAATTGTTGTTAATCTTGAGAACGAAAATCTACTGTTGTAATTGATATGAAAATCATTCTCGTGTTGATGAAACATCCCCCAATCACATTTTCTCGCATTCAATCAAGAACCACTTTGTTTATTTCTGATTTCAAGTCTTTTCTAGTTTAAATTTATCACTTTCCTTAGTTCAACAAACCAACCCCCTCCCCAATCTAATCTATTTCATCTATTATTATTAATTTTACTTTTTAGTGCGCAATTGACATAATTGAATCAATCCTCTGTGGGAAATGACCCTTACTTGCCATATTACTATTTAAAATGACACATTTAAGTTAAGTAAGGAAAATTAATTGGAACGTGATATGCAACATATCAATTTTGGCGTTGTGTCGCCGGGGATTGTTCTAAAAATTTGTTAATTGCAATATTTTTCTTTTTGTTGTCTTTCTATTTATTTTTGTTTTTTTTCCTTTGTCATTTAGGTTGTGAATGAGCGAAAATTCTATAACACACTACAACCTAAGATCAAGAAAAGAGGACGACACATCGAAAAGTGGAGAAGACATTTCTTCGACTGGACATCTAAGGCGATTGAGCATTGAATCCTCAAGTGACTCCAAACACATAGAGCCCGAAATGGCGGATGCAAATCGGACCTTAAAGGAACTTGCAGCTCCAACTTTTGTTCAACCTCTATGCATTCAATATCCTCAAGTAGAGGTGGGATTTGAACTAAAGTCCGGGATGAATTATCTATTTTCCACATTTCATGGATTCGCGGAAAAGGATCCAAATAAGCATTTGAAGGAGTTTTATGTGGTTTGCTCAAGCATGAAACCTACGGGTATATCGAAAAACCAAGTGAAATTGCGGGCATTCCCTTTTTCTCTTGCAGACACTGCTAAGGAATGACTCTATTATTTGCCAGGCGGTCTTATTACCACGTGGAATGAAATGCAAAAGCTCTTCTTGGAGATGTATTTCCCAGCTTCAAAGGCTACAAACATCATAAAAGAAATCTGTAGCATTCGGCAATCTCAAGGGAAAAATCTCTACGAATATTGGGAGAGATTCAAAAGGCTATGTGCTATATGCCCAAACCACCAAATCAGTGAGCAATTACTTCTACAATACTTCTATGAAGGATTGCTCCCGATGGAGAGAAGTATGATTGATGCGGTCAGTGGAGGAGCTTTAATGGATAAAACACTGGCAGTTGCTATGGATTTGATAGCCAACATGGCCACAAACTCACAACAATTTGGTAGTAGAGAAGTGGCACCGGTTAAACAAATAAGTGAGGTAGGAGCAACCTCTCAAATTGAACGACAATTAGCTGGTCTTACATCGCTTATGCAACAAATGGCACTTGGGACAATGCAACAAGCAAAAGTATGCGGGATTTGTTCTATTGTGGGACATCCTACTGAGGCATGCCCAACACTACAAGAAGGAGCCTCAAAGCAAGCGAATGCCATTGGGGGATTTCCAATGCAATAAAGACAGAGCTATGATCCATATGCTAACACATACAATCCTGGATTTAGAGATCATCCTAATCTCAGTTATGGAGGAAATCATTTCATAGCTCCACAATCACAGTTTAATCATCCCCCGGGGTTCAATCAACAAAGGTAACCACAACACCCTCAACCTCATCAACAAACTCCGCCTCAAAGTTCAGAGATGTCTCTTGAGGATATGGTTAAGTCCTTGGCTTCTAGTACTATACAATTTCAACAAAAGACAAAGACCTCAATCAAGAATTTGGAGACAACAAGTGAGGCAATTGGCCAACACGGTGGGTGAATTGGAGGCTCAAGGATCGGGAAAACTTTCTTCTCAAGCAATCAACCTGAGAGAAAATGCTAGTGTTGTGACACTAAGAAGTGGAAAGATTTTGGAAGAGGCACCAAGGAAAATGAAAGATCAAATTGAAGAATCAACACAAGAAAAGAATTTAGTATGTGGAAAAGATGAAGCTACGACTCCAACTGCGGGATCTAATGTAGAATCTAAATGTTCTATTCCTACTTATGTTCCCTCCATTCCATTTTTTGGCAGGTTTGCAAAGTCTAAAAAGGATGAACATGAGAAAGAAATCTTGGAAACTCTTCGCGAGGTTCAAGTAAACATACCACTTTTAGATGCAATTTATCAAGTGCCTCGTTATGCAAAGTTCCTCAAGGATTTGTGCACTAACAAGCATAGATTGAAAGGTAATTAAGTGGTAAGTGTAGGGGAAAATGTCTTAGCAGTCTTGCAAAAGAAACTTCCACCAAAATGTAAGGACCCTGGAAGTTTTACCATCCCTTGCATTATTGGTAACACTAGGTTTGAAGAGGCAATGCTAGATTTAGGAGCATCCATTAATGTCATGCCATATTCTATTTATTCTTCCTTAAATCTAGGATCACTTAAAGAAATCGGTGTTATTATTCAACTTGCTGATAGATCTAATGCATTTTCGAAGGGTGTGTTGGAGGATGTTTTGGTGAAGGCAAATCAATTGATTTTTCCACAGATTTCTACGTTCTTGACATGCAAGATGAACCAACAACTTTATTGCCACCGTTACTCTTGGGAAGACCATTTATGAAGATTGCGCGTATAAAGATAGATGTGTATGCTGGTACATTAACAATGGAGTTTGATGGTGAGATTATTTGCTTCAACATCTTTGAAGCAATGAGGTATCCTAGTAATGTTATGCTTGTTTTTCAATTGATATAATAGATTCATTAGTACAAAGAGTTTTTGAATTATCAAATGAAGATGTATTGGATACCACTTTGATTAAAAGCATTGATGCTAACAATCTCACCGGGTTGAGCAAGAATTTATAAGTGTGCAAGGATGTTGTTGAAACCATGGCATCACTTGAGTCACCACCAAGTATTCCACCAAGGTATGATCTCTCCAATATTACTCTTCCAATATCTAAAGAGAAACTTTTACATTCGGTGATGCAGGCCCCCACTTTTGAACTCAAACCTCTTCCCGAGCATTTCAAGTATGTATATTTGGGAGAGGGAGAAACACTACCAGTGATCATTGCAAAGAATCTCACAATACTTCAAGAAGATAGGCTTATCTGTGTGCTCAAGGAACACAAAATAGCTATTGGTTGGACAATAGCCGATATCAAGAGGATAAGCCCTTCTATGTGCATGCACCGGATATTACTCGAAGATGGAGCAAAGCTATCAAGAGAAGCACAACGTTGCTTGAATTATCCCATGATGGAGGTGGTGAAGAAAGAAATTTTGAAATTGCTAGACGTTGGTGTCATCTTTCCCATCTCCGATAGCAAGTGGGTGAGCCCGGTCCAAGTTGTTCCAAAAAAATTCGGAATCATAGTGGTGACGAATGAAGAGAATGAGCTGGTACCAACTCGGGTCCAAACGGGTTGAAGGGTTTGTATTGATTATAGAAAACTTAATTGTGCAACCCAAAAAGATCACTTTCCTTTACCCTTTATTGATTAAATGTTGGAAAGGTTAGTTGGTCATTCTCATTATTGTTTTCTTGATGGTTACTCAGGTTATAACCAAATTGTAATTGCTTCGGAGGACCAAGAAAAAATAACATTCACTTGCCCGTTTGGCACCTTTGCTTATCGGCGTATGCCCTTCGGCCTTTGCAATGCTCCTGCAACCTTTCAAAGATGCATGATAAGTATATTCTCTGATTATATTAAAAGCATCATAGAGGTCTTTGTGGATGATTTTAGTGTTTATGGTAATACCTTTGCTAGTTGCCTGGAAAATCTCACACTTCTGCTTAAGAGATGTATGGATGCTAACCTAGTACTTAATTGGGAAAAATGTCATTTTATGGTTGATCAAGGCATAGTGTTAGGCCATGTCATTTCTTCCAAGGGGATAGAAGTTGATAAATCTAAAATTGATCTAATTCGTTCTTTACTTTCTCCAACAAGTGTGAGAGAGGTTTGTTCTTTTCTTGGACATGCAGGATTTTATCGAAGGTTTATCAAGGATTTTTTCAAATGTGCAAGAGCACTATACAGGCTATTGCAAAAGGAGGTGCCATTTTACTTTGATGAAGATTGTAAAAAGGCATTCGAAAGCTTGAAGGAACTTTTGACATCGACACCCATCATTCAACCACCAGATTAGAACAGGCCATTTGAGTTGATGTGTGATACAAATGACTTTGCATTGGGAGCTGTTTTAGGGCATCGAGTTGGAAAGATACCTCATGTTATATATTATGCATCAAGAACTTTGAATGATGCCCAACTCAATTATTCTACAACTGAAAAAGAGCTTTTAGCAGTTATTTTTGCCTTTGAGAAATAGACAAAAAGGGGAGTGAAAATTCTGTGGCCGACCACCTGAGTCGCCTTATCCATGATAGAAAAACTCTCCCATTGCAAGAAAGCTTCCTCGATGAACAATTGCTTTTCATCACGAACACATCTCCTTGGTTTGCGAATATAGTGAACTATTTAGTCACTAAGAAAACTCTAAGTGACTTGACCACCGCTCAAAGGCAAAAACTCAAGGCTATGGCCAAGTATTTTGTGTGGGATGAGCCGTGCTTGTGGAAACATTGTCCAGATCAATTGATAAGAAGGTGCGTGCATGAAAATGAATTTCATTCAATACTTACCTTTTCTCACTCCTATGCATGTGGTGGACATTTTGGAGCAAAAATGACTGCTCTCAAAGTGCTTGAAAGTGGATTATATTGGCCCACACTATTCAAAGATGTATTCCTTTTTTGTAAATCTTGTTATCGATGTCAAAGAGTAGGTACGTTGGGAGCCCGAAATCAAATGCCACAAACACCCATACTTTTTGTTGAAATTTTTGATGCTTGGGGCATTGATTTCATGGGACCTTTCCCTTCATCTTATGGTAACCTTTACATCATTCTTGCCGTTGATTATGTGTCAAAATGGGTGGAAGCAAGGGCCACTCGAACTAATGATTCTAAAGTGGTTGTAGATTTTGTTAAATCCAACATTTTTGCAAGGTTTGGAACACCAAGAGCTATTATTAGCGATGGAGGACTACATTTTTGCAACCGCTCCTTTTGGGCTCTATTGACAAGATACAACATCACCCATAAAGTGGCTACACCTTACCATCTGCAAACTAGTGGGCAAGTCGAAGTGTCTAACCGAGAGGTCAAATCCATTCTCGAAAAAACTTGAATCCCAATAGAAAGGATTGGAGTCTCCGCCTCAATGATGCACTCTGGGCTTATAGGACGGCATACAAAACACTGATTGGCATGTCTCCTTATCGGTTAGTTTATGGTAAACCTTGTCATCTCCCGGTTGAACTCAAACATAAGGCATTTTGGGCAGTCAAGCAGTGCAACATGAACCTAGGTGTAGCGGGTGATCAAAGAAAGCGTCAACTCAATGAACTTGATGAAATTCAAAATGACGCCTATGAAAGTTCAAGAATTTACAAGGAAAAAACTAAGGCGTACCATGATAAAATGATTTCAAGAAAGGTTTTTGTTGTTGGACAAAAAGTTCTTCTTTTCCACTCGCGCCTCAAGTTATTTTCAGGTAAATTACGTTCTCGATGGATTGGCCCTTTTGTTGTTACTAATGTCTTTCCTCATGGTGCAATAGAAATCAAAAACCTTAAGACTGAGCAAGAGTTTAAGGTGAATGGGCATCAATTAAAGCCATATTTTGAACCCTTCGTACCACAAAACATGGAGGAAATGCGATTGGAGGATCCAATCAAAGAAGCATGAAAGATGACACTTATTTTTGTTTTTGTGAATTTTTGTCGCCAGTGGTCCCCAACCATCATCACGGCCATCACCGTCAACACCACTAGGGGAGTATTTGAACCTCTTGCGCTTTCTATTTCTTTTTGCTTTTACATTGAGGACAATGTGCAATTTAAGTTTGGAGGTGGGGTGGTATGTGCTAAATATTTTGTGGAATTTTGTGGTTTGTGCTAATTTTGTTCTCACTAAAAACTTAAAAATTCAGTTTAAACACTTGTACTTGTTTTTATGCTTGTTTGTGTTGTTTGATAGTTTTGTCAATTGCATTTTGAGTATTGCATTGCATTGATTTATGAATTGGGAACATGAATGCTAAGTGTTGTTTATTTTCTTCCACTTATTCCATGATTGACTCTTTATTGAGCACTTGGGTCATGAGATTTATCACACGCACTTGTTGGTTGCACTTGTAGGTTGTTAACGAACTTAAATGACCATGCTAATAGAAATTCTTCAATTACTCTACTAATGAAAGGATAAGTTTGGGGGTGGTTGAACCGGTGAAAGAAATTATTTAGAATTGTATTAATTCCGGACTCAATGATTGATTTTATGGAATATTCTTAGACTTCAAATGAAAGTTAGATATTGTTTTCCATCTATTGATATTTCATAAGAAAAAAATTGTAGGAAAAAGTTGCCTACCCTAAGGAGTGTGAATCAACATTGAGTAATTTGGCCCTATGCATCACCAATGTGTAGGAGACGATCTACGAATGAAGAAGGCTACCCTTAGGGACCAGAGCGAGAACTACCTACATTGAAAAATTGAAGAAAAATAAAAGGGATGCTATAAGCATCTAGGGGTGATTTTGTTGAAGAATTGATGGATTGTGAGTAATTTGCCTAACATAGGTTGTGGTCTAAGCACTCAAAATTTTTGGTGAATTAATACATGACTAGATGATCTATTTTTTCAGTTCAAACCAACCAAATTTGAGAGGGAAAGATTGAGTGATTTGAAGGCAACCTTAAGTTTTTGATACCTTGGGTTAGAGTGAAAATATCAAATTTGGGGGAGTGTGCATCCCACAAGTGAGAAAGGAAAGTTTGACCATTGAGGGTTGGGAAAATCACCAACTTGTGCATTGCGATGAATTGGAATGACCACACACACACACGAGTCAAGCATGGTGTAAGTTTAAAAGTGTTTGGTGTAGCATTTTTGTAAACATTTCATAAGTTATTTGCATAATGTAAGAATTGTAGCAAAGTGGCAAAATATCGAACAATTGGAGTGTTTGTTATTATTATAGTATTATCGTTTGGTTTTAATTTGTGTGTTTGTATGCTTGTTTGTATTGATTTGTTCGAGGACTAACAAAGATTTAAGTTTGGGGGTGTGATAAATACGGGTTTATTGCGCTTATTCGGACCATTAAATTTAGATATTTGCGAGTTTTATTAGCGATTTATTACTTAATTTTCTTATTTTTATTTTGTAGGTGAAAACTCATGATTAAACGATGAATTGAAGAAATTTATACAGAAACGAGCTAAAAATGAAGGCAAATGAAGAAGATGACCAAAGACGCCGCCGAAAGAAGATTTATAAAAAAAAAAAAATCAGCGAGCTGGGCGCCGTGGCACCCAGCCTGAGCAGAAACAGAAACTGTGGCGCCCAATGCCACTGTTCCGGCGCCAAGGCACCACCTGGGCCGTTTTTAATTGTTTTCGAAGTTCTAGGGACCAATGCCGTAATTTCCTTTAGGTTTTAGGTTAAAACATTAAACCAAACACAAGATTTTGCATTCAAAAACTTGGGAGACAGCTGGTTCTTCCTCTTCTTCTTGCTTTCTTTCTTTCTTTTTTTCCTTTTTCCTTTCACCTTTATTTTCTAAGATATTTTGGGGAAGATTGGAATATGGAGATGGTGCATTAACTTCGAGAAGATGACCCATTGATATTGAAGGATTTTCAACCATTTCTCTCTTTATCAATAAGTTTTTCTTTTTACTTTTTCCATCAATATTTTGTAAGAAATTGTTAGTTATTTGTGGATATTTCATGGGTAACTAATTATATTTTGTGATTGGAGATTATTTCAAACCCAAGTTATGATTTT